TTCCTTTGCTAACTCAGTCAATACTATCTATCTTGGATAGCTTCTACTCATACATCTAAGGCTTCTGCAAGAACACATCAGCTCATATAGGGGTCCGCAATAGACCAAACCATAAAATGCTTCAAGTCTTAGCCTACCTCCTTTGGGCTCGGAGGCTAAATGGAATTTTCCTCCAGTGGGATTTTCCCATGTATTTTACCAGGGAACATAGATAGGGCAGGCTAGAAAAGTCAGTGCCCTCCTAACCATACCCAAGCACTCCGAATTTGTTCGTGATGTCCATTTTGCTGTATGGGTTCATGGTGACGTAACCCTAATCCTAAGTGGAATTTTCCTCCAATGGGATTTTCCCATGTATTTACCCAGGAAACATAGATAGGGCAGGCTAGAAAAGTCAGTGCCCTCCCAACCATACCCAAGCACTCTGAATTTGCTGGCGATGGCCATTTTGCTCTATGAGTTCATAGTGACCTAACCCTAATCCTAAGTGGGAATTGGAGGAATTTTCCTCCAAGGGGATTTTCCCATGTATTTTACCATGAAAGATAGATACGGCAGGATAGAAAAGTCAGTGCTTTTCTAACCCTACCCAAGCACTCCAAATTTGTTGGCAACGTCCATTTTCCTCTCCGAGTTCATGGTGACATAACCCTAACCCTATATGAGATCAAACTTGACTAGCACATGGATAGAAGCCACCAGGGAATTCCAGGGCTGTAGGCCAAACTTGGGAGTCAAGAAAGGCTTCAGAAGAAGCCAGTATCAAACCAGTCCTTGTTTGTTGCCTTGGAATTATGACATTGCAGCCCTTTCCAATTTTTTTGGCACCTGGTCCTCGAGAAGGTTACCAGCCTTATGTTCTAGGATTAGGTTACATTAAAATATAGGAAATGCCACCGGGTGGGCTTAAAGGAAGACTTGCCAAAGGAGGTTCTGGAAGCAGCAAAGAGAGAATTTGTCAAAATGTAATAAAGAAAAGCTGTTGCTTTTCTCCCATCTGTTCTTCTGTTCATCCCACTGTTGATTTTATTGTGCTTAAGGAAATGCAGCTTGGCAGTTTCCCCACATTACGGCATCCTACTCCACTCAAACCGTTGCCCCCTGCAATCCAGAGCTGTGTGGAGGGTTGGAGCCCCACAAAGGGAACACTAAAATTAGCTCATGGCTTGAAGAGGTTGGACGTTTGCAAGCTATAATTTGAAGGGGGAAAAAACCCAACCCAAAGATGTATTTTGCAGCCTGGAAATTTTAAATAGACCAGAGTCTCCGTTTTTGCATGGCTGTGTTCTGTCAAGCGCTGCCTACAGTTAATCCAAATCCAATCATCCCATAACAACTCCTCTGCAGAGAAATGACAACTTAATATTGTGCGTGTGACTGTGGCATGGCTGTTAAATCGGGCCCTTTTTATACGCGTGCACACCCAGCGTGTCGGCCACTTTGTAAAGAGCCGTGACTCAGATTCTTTATTCTTACTTCTTCTCAAAGCCAATTCTTTTAAGATGCCAGGGAAAGAGTAGCCTCCATCATCTTGGAAAATTACAGTAATTTGCAGACTTCCTTAACTTTATGACAATTTTTTTCTCAATGATTTTTGGGGTGGAGGATTCATGCCACTTTACATATTCAGAAAAGATATTTATATCAAAGATAAATTTAGAAAAATGGAAGCTTTGCTTCCTGGAGCAAATGATTGGCATAATTGCTTATCGTTGAGAGATTAAAATGACCCACTCTCCAAACATTCTAGCTTTGCAAGGCATTTCAAGATGGACCATACCATACCATGCCATCACCACGTCATTGTCTTGTTGGGCAAGACCTCTCCTCATATTGCAACTCAAGATACTTCCCTTTAAATATGTTGAGGAGGACATTCGGGAGAGGCAAGAGAGAGAGAATTGCCTTAAAACATTCACTGCCAGAGAAGATTGGAAGGCAAGTCATTTGGCTGGTGCTTAGGACAGGGGCAGAGAATGTAGAGTCATATCAAGAGACTCGGAGCTGGAAAGAGTTAGAGTAGCTGGTGTCACTCCAGGTATTTGGAGGAAATACCCAAAACATAGGATAATCAAAAGCTAGGGAGCCAAAGTGTTTTTTAATCGAAAGAGATGGCATTCTCAGCTTTTCCCAGTCTGACTCTAGAGCACGGTTTCTCAACCCTGGTGGTATGGACTTCAATTCCCAGAATTCCCCTGCAAACTACTCCATCCCATGTACAGGCTTATGTGAAAGTTGAGATCTATCAGAAGACATCAGAGGCTATGGAGCAATAATGGGAAAAGTAGAGTGGCTACGTGTCTTACTGGTGGACGTCCATCTGAGTGGCTATTTTGGAAAGCAGGAAGAGGACTAAGTGTGCTTTAGTTTACTGCAACAGGCTCTTAACACTCTCCTAGCCATTACTAAGATCCACAGGAGCTGTCAATCCAAACACGACACCTGTCTCTTGATGAAACAAGCCCAAAGAACACACAGTTGGAGGGACATCTCACCCATCTTCCATGCATAACCAATTGGCTTCCAGTGAGAAAATAATATGCCTGTCAATTCTGCACAGCACCAGCTTTTGAGGGGCCCATTCCACCAACTTGCCAAGGGCAAATTTAGGGTGTGGAACAATAAAAAGGCCCTTGGGTGATTAGTCAACTTGACAGCCCCAGGAAGAGCCTAATTAGTCTCTCATCCTAAGTGCAAGAGGGTTTGGAAGATGCGATCAAGGTCACTTCATCCCTGCTCAGTGACCGAGCTTCCTTGCTTAGATACCTGCAATCACCTGATGAAGAGTCAAAGCCCATGAAATTGCTCTCCAGGTTCTCTTTTTCCTTGGAAAAGTCAAGGCCTCCCATTAGATTACAAATGGGAACCATCCAGTTGACCAGCAGGGCGATGCTCGATTTTTATAAGCAAGCCAGACCAACCATTTGAAACAATCTGCATCGAAGTTGATCTCCTGATCGCTCCAAAAAATTCCTCTCCTGCAAAAGCAGCTTTGTTTTTAGGACCTCTGAGGTCTTCCCTTGACATGGAATAGAATTGAGGACAGCTGGGACAGATCTGTGCCCAAGAGAATGGCACCAACATTGTGTTCTCCTGGGGAAGAAGGACCCCTTAAAGTAATTTGCCTTCCAATAAACCAGAATTTCCATCCCTAAAAGAGGCAATTCTGAGTTGCTCCCAATTTACAACCTTTCTTGCCACGGTTGTTAAGCAAGTCACTAGAATGTTAAGGGAATCAAATGGTTGCTAAGCAAATCTTGCTTGTGGAAGCCAGCCAGGAACGTCACAAGCAGTGCTCAGGGGATCCCAGGATGCTGCAACCATCACAAACACATGCCAGTTGCCAAGTACCAAGATTGTCGTAAGTGCGACTGTCGTAAGTGTGAGGACCATTTGTAAGTCACTTTTTCCAGCACCGTTGCAACTCTGAACCATCCCTAAACAAATAGTTCATAAGTTAAGAACTACCCGTAGTTCAAAAAAAATGTAGAGAAGAGATTTCAGCATCGTATTTCATGGGAAACAGTGCAGATTTTTTTTGCTGTCCGGTTGAAGCATTGGAAGAGTTTATTCAACCTTCCCCAAAGAGGTCTCCGGCAGATATGTGAGGACTAGAATCATGAGAAGATGATTCCTCTGTTGCAGAAGCTGGCTTCTTTCCTTCAGAACAATCTCAGGCTGAAATAGTTTTTCAGCTTTTAGAGTGGGGAAAAATAATGGCAGTTTTACATGTACGTTTTTATTTTGCTTAACGGGTAGGAGATTTTGAAAATCGATTCTTGCTATAATCTAGATGCAACACTTTTGCGGATCCTCTGGGGATCCTGTTTAATAAAACTCTTAAAGCAAGAGCGGATAAATTCCAGAGTTTATCCAATATTTAACAATGGGAAAGGACCCCTTAGGAATTAACAAAGCCAACAGAAGATTTTTTCTTTTTCTTTTCCTTTTCTTTATGGCTTTTAGGCAGTGAAAATATCCTTACTGTATTTTTAAATGCCTGTTGGAACTGGAGGGGAAACTGTTTTCAGTTACTGTGGCATAACAAAGTCTCAATAAGGGTTGATTATAACCAAGAATGCCGAGATAAAGGAGCCCAATCTAGGGAAGGGGAGAATGAGATTTTGCAATTTAACAGGGAGTTGCCTCTTTATCAGCAGGATTTCCTGCTTAAATGCATCTCTAATTAACTGAAGCAGATGCTGAAACCCCTCGGTGCAAAAGCATTTCTGAGGAGAAGCTGTCACCTTGACAGCCATGCAAGCAAATCTGCTGTCAGATTCCTATATTCTTCCTAATTTCCGCCACTATGAGGACATAAAAAAAGACGGGAGCTACACACAAGAGCCCTGTCGCAAGGAGGGGATATTCAAGGCCCTGGAAGCCATGCGTCCAGATTTTCTATACACAAAGTCCACGAATTACGACCACAGCTGAGCCCAAAATTTCTGTTGCTAAGTGAGACAGTTAGGTGAATTTTGCTCCGCTTTATGTCCTTCCTTTGTTAAGCAAATCATTGCAGGGTTTAAGTTAGTTACACGGTGGTTAAGTGAATCCGGCTTCCCCATGGATGTTGCTTGTCAGAAGGCCGCAAAGGGGATGACGTGACCCCCCCGGGACACAGCGACCGTCATAAATAGAAGTCAGCTGCCCAGTGTCTGAATTTTGATCACGTGACCCTGGGGATGCAACCATGGTCGTAAGTGTGAAAAATGATCACAAGTCACTTTTTTCAGTGCCATTGTAACTTCAAACGGTCACTAAATGAACTGTCAAGGTTAGTCAAGGATTATTGGCACTTCCTGCTGAAGAATGTGAGAGGATGGAAAGAATGGGTAAAGATACATCTGAATTGTGGGTTTGTGGGAGCTGACTCACAACTCAACAGTTCCTCAGTTTGATGGGACTTAACCATCTGGGAAGACCAAGCAGTAGGTTGCCACTCAACCGTAGGACTTGCTCCTTCCCAGAAGACCAGTTGATGTTTTAGAAGGTCTTACCTTGAGGGTCAACCTGACCGTGTTGCACTCCTGCAGTGGGTTCAATTTCAACATCTCCCCAAGGCTGCAGCCCGAAGTCTGGTGTTGCAACTCACAGCACACACAGACACTGTCACTGTCGAATTTAATCTGAGGAAGGAACAGAGGGGAGAAGAGGCCATCAGGTCTGAATGAGATCAGGTTAAGCCGACATTAACCCTGTTGATGTTCTAGAAATCCTTCAAGCAGTCACAACGTTGAGGTCGTTTCTCTGCAGTTGGTTTCCCTCAAAGTAACCATGGCTTAGAAATTAACAGTAATTAGGATTTGGGGCTTTTTCCTCTTTTAACGTTCTCCATTTTATCTTCGCCTTCTTGTGAATTGCTCAGCTCAGAATCAAGCATCATAAAAATCACAGAAATAGGTAAACGGGTTTTAATGGAAGTGATGAATCTGCAGAAGGAATTGAGGTCATCGCTTCCACCCTTGAAAGTCGCCAATGTGACTCTCATCGGGTGATTTTATTCTGTATCTCAGGGTCTAATCCTGCCCTTAGGGTATCTTTATCTGATGTATCTCCTGCAGCTCGTAGAGTTAGGTCATTTATAAATCTTACAAATAAATAAAGCAATAAAACAAACATGGATCTAGTGGCTGACCTGTTAGATGACGATTTTCTACATACGTAAAGGGGAATGCTTACAAGATTTTGCAAGTTGGATAGACAAAAAGGAAGAGATCCTTCTGAGGAGATCAACGAAAGCTAGGCGGAAGGTGCTGGGTTCAGCCCCAAACAGCTCATCTTCAAAGGATTAGGGAATTTTCTAATTTAGCATCCAGGTTCACTCTTATTCTATAAAAATCACCCGTGTATTCAAGGAAGGCCACAACGGCTTTCTTTAGAAGTAGTTAACCGTTACACGAGCCTCTTCCTTCTTTGAGCAGTAAAAATGAATAAACTTGACAGAAATGCGCCAAATAAGGACAAACACTTATTTGTTTTGTGTATTGAGACCGCAGCTCCTGCCAGCGTTTATGAACAACAAAATGAGATCTGTCTTATTGGCTCCGTTGATTTCTGCACTTCTATTTTAAGAGCCACGCACAGATGCAAAGGGAGCTGGGGCTTCGGATCCGATGTTATCCTCAGCAGTTATTAAAGAGACAAAACCCACACACACAAAGAGGAAATTGGGTGTGGGGTCAGGAAGGACAGGCCTGGAGATACACCCTAGAGCAGGGGTAGGCAACCTTGGCTCTTTTATGACTCATGGATTTCAACTCCCAGAATTCCTGAGCCAGCATGGCTGGCTCAGGAATTCTGGGAGTTGAAATCCACGAGTCATAAAAGAACCAAGGTTGCCTACCCCTGCCCTAGAGAACAGCTGACAATTTTGCCCCATTTTAAGTCTCCATTTGCAGACAGCAGAAGTCAAAATAACACAACAGAACAACAGAGCTGGAAGGGACCTTAGAGGTCTTCAACCTCTGCTCAAGCAGGAGCCTTTATGCCATTTCAGACAAATTGTTGTCCAGTTGCTTCTACAAAACCTCCAGTGTTGGAGCATCCACAACTTCTGCAGGCAAGTCATTCCACTCGTTAATTGCTCTCACCGTCAGGAAATTTGTCAAAAAATTGGAAATTTGTCAGAAAACTGAGATACAGTTTAATAATTGGGAAGAGGGAAAAGAAATATCTTCCTGCAAATTATCTATCTAAAGAAGTAAATTTAAAGGACACTGAAACAAAAGAAATGAGAAGCAGGCAGTGGATCTAAAAAATTATAGAGTTTCTGTCGTGTTCTACGTATTCTATAAAATTGGGACATCCAATTACATACTCAAAAATGGACATTGATGCTTGGAAGAAGTGCACCAAATGCCAAATTAACATGAAAAAACAGGATATTATTAAACCATTCATGTTAACTAACATATTCTGTGAAATACCTCCCTCCATATCATAAAGAGGGGATTGATCCATGATGCAATATAAATGTATCAATGACATAGGTATCGTTCATTAGTATTGCCCTGTTATCTTGGGAAATGAAAGTCAATTGCTTCGTGAACAGCCTTTAATGCCTTGTCTCAAAAGAATAAATAAGGTAGACTATCAGAAGGATATTAACTTGCCCAGAATGTCCATCTTTCACAGAATAAAGGGAAAATCATAATTTGAAGATTAAACTCAATCCTAAAATAAATGGAAGCTCATTTGCAAATTAATTTGGCAGCCCTTCTCTCTCTCTCTCTCTCTCTCCCCTCCTCCACCGAGTTCCAGATAAATCAGAATTGAAGGTGGTCCATAAAGAGCAGTGAGACTGAACGGAATAATTTCAGAGAAAGAGGGGGAAGGAAGACAAACAAGATGGGGCTAGGAAGATTGATAAATAAGAGCCTCCTTCAAAACTTGAATTCTGCAGATGTAGAAATGTTTTGAAGGCAAAGAATTAAAGGAAAGATGGAAAGGAAATAGAGAAGTGATCACACAACCAACCAATGGTCTCTTCAACAATGTCTTAGGGTTCAAATCTAGAAGGTCAAAGAGTCATCCACAATCAGCAGACCTATCCCACAATCTCTTGACATCTCTCAACTTACCAGCCAAGACATGACTAGGGTTAGTCTAAAGACAAGACCTTTCATATTGCGTATTGAATTTCTAACATCCTTGCAGAAATCCCATTCTGCTAGGACAACATTTCCAAGCTAACATCCTTCAGGTGTTCTGGGATTCCAATGTACAGAACTGAAGGTCAACTGGGAGCTTCTGAAGGAAGCCAGGTTAACCTCCAAATTCTGAAAGTGAGCAAGCAGAGAGGAATTGGGAGACTCGCATTTTGACCTCTGAAATATGAACAAGTTGGATTCCCACTGCAAAACGGGCGTGCGTTTTTAGCATGTTTTATTTCAAAACAAATCATCAATATGCAAAAAAGAAGAAGATTTCGATTACTCACCAACTGACACCCTTCTAGAGAATTCACTAGTTGAGCATTTTGACAGGAAAGAATGGACCCAGCTAAATTCAGCATCACGCAGACTGCTGACAGCAACATGAAAAAAGTTATCTGAGGAAGAAGAAGAAGCTTGATTATTTTATATTGCAATGATCACCAAGAGCTAAGAAATAAGAAATGCATCAATGCTGGTAGAGAATCATAGAATTATAGATCTGGAAGGGATCACAAGAATCATCTGATCCAAAAAGTCCAACAGGGTATCTGATTGCAGAACATTGTTCTAGAGATCTGTAAACCCAACACCATCCATTTCTCAACTAGTCATAATATTGAACAGATTGTTCCAGGTAATGCATGTACAAAGCAGCATTTAAACCATGTTCAAAACCACGCAAGCTGAGAGATCCAAGCTCTGGAGGAACAACAACTTGCTGACTACAATAGAGGAAAAAATTGGCCTTCAAAGGGCTTAGGAAGTACTTGCTTCCTCCAGTAACTACTTTCCAATAACCAAAGAAGCAGCTGTGTCTTAACTCCCATGGCTTGTTGTGACCCCCTTGGACAGTTCATCTGAGCAGAAAAGATTGCAGTCTTTCCCTATCACTTTCTGCTTCTTCCTTGGTCCTGGAGACACCACTGGTTGGCATGTTCAAAGCAAGACAACAAATGCAAGAAAATACTTGCATCAAACAAAGAGCTGGAATGGAGATCTTTTCCTTCCATCATCCAAGGATGTCCTCCATCCACACCAGTGTTTCTCAACCTTGGTAGAAGAGATGATGGTGATGATATTCTATCCCCTCAATCAGCATTTCTCAACTTTAAGCTCTGTGGACTTCAACTTCCACAATTCCCTAACTGTCAACAGGAAATTGAAGTCCACACATATTCAAGCAGCCAAGGTTGAGAAACACTGAACTTCACCAAAGAGAAAAAAGGTGGGCCAGTTGTCACTGGAGACCCATCCCTACATCTGAGCTCACTTTTCCACACAAGAGAAAGAAGTCACTTGTGGCCCTCGCCAATACACCATATTCCCCCCCCTTGCGTTGGAAATGAATAATTGCAACTTGGTATGCCAGCCGTCCCTTCCAACCAGCTCCATTCCCTTAAGCAAGCTATCAAAAGCTGTCTAAGAGCCCACTTCAAGAACTTAAAATGGATGGGAGCCACGGTGTGGCACAGGCATTGCTCTGCTTCCCCAAGAGAACCTGGTTTAATTTAGAACATTGCTTCTAATCAGAGGAATGCAATAACAACATTTGCTTAAGTTTCTGGGTTGCTAATATAGCAGCCTCGGGAATAGTGGAAAATGCAAAGAGAATCCTTTCACAGCTCTATCACTCGAGTTCCAGATGTTATATCTTTATTTAGAAAGAATAGCATTATTTGGGCAAATTGGCTCTATCAACACTGTTTTGGGACCTCACATCATGCCTGCCTCCACTGTTCCTGGTTGAAACTTCTCCCGAGAAGGGCGGCTAGATAGATTTGATTAATAGATAAATAAACTTTGAAGATCAGACTTCGTGAAGGACAACTCTTGGACCATTATCTCAAGAGTAGCTTTGGTTTCAACCAGCCTGGTTGCTCTCACACATCATTCTTAACCTGGTTATTGAGTTAACCCTTATTCTTCCTTTTGTTCAATACCCTGATTCATAAAACTAACCAAACAACCTAAACCACAAAAAAGCAAATTAAGATGATCGTAAACCCAACTGAGGATGTTGTGGAAATGTAGACTACTATGATTTTTACTGATCCGGTGTGTTGGGCAAATTGGCTCCTGGCTCTCACTGAGGTTGAAAAATGTGATTCTACACACTTTTCTTAGCCCCAAAGAGATTTCAGAGCAAAGTCAGGGCTTGGAGTAGGTCAATATTATAGCTACCGAACATAAATTGAATAAATAAATATACTTATCCTAACTGCCATTCCTAAACCCAAGTGAATCCATAGATGGAAGTGCTTGCCTCTTTCGTTTTCTATAATTTTTCAGGCAGAAATCCTCTCTTTTACACCAGTTTGCAAAAGAGTTTTGTTCAGGTTTAGGGGAAAAAACCATGCAAGCATGCACATCATTTCCAATTTCAATGCCACAAAACATTCTGCACAAATCATCTGTTTTCCCCATGCATTTGTGTAAGCAGAATGTTCCCTGTCTCATTTTCAGACGCTAAAAGCTAAAATAATCCCACCATTTCACTTGCTCCCTGTTTTTATCGGGTTTGGGGGCGAGCAAGCCACCTCCCCTTGTCCACCCCCCCCCACTTGAAAGCCTGTAAAACTTGTCAGATCCTCCCCCGTCCCAAATCGATTCCAAAATCAGAAGAAAGCTTCATTTTCAATTATCTCTGTAATGAAAAAAACAAAACAAATTGAAAGCGGATGAGAGCAAAAAGGGCCAGATGGCTTTGGAAGGAAGAAGAGGAGGGAAGCTTTTATCTGCACATCAATCGTTGAGAGCCCAGATTCCACAGCCAAGGCCGATATGGAAGATGGATCCTTATCAAACACTCTATCCAAGAACAGAGCAGCAATCTCACAATAATTGCCTTGAGCTGCCTTGAACTTTGACTTAGCAGAGCTTCAGAAAGAAGGAAGAAGGCTGAATGAAGGATCAATTCTTCAGGCTCCAATGTGTTACCCAAAGGGAGAAGAATCTCACGGAGGTATGAAGTTCTATCAAGCTCTTTGAGGTTGGCCCAAGCTTTTGAATATTTTGTACTGCCTGCAAATTCCCTGGAGTTTTACCCCCATCACATCTGGGAAGTTATACTTTCTACAAGATCTACAAGCTTCCCTACAAGACCTGCTACCCCCAACCCTTGAATATTAACTGCATGATGTGGCACAGAAGAGGTTACATTTGACTCTATCGTGCAGCATTCTAGAACACAGTGGGTGTATCGCAACAGATTGCCTCATTGCTGCAGTGCAATTGCTGCCTTCAAAGCAGCAGCACAGTAAAAAAATGTGTTTTAGTTTATTTCTTCCACAATGTCCTTTCCAAAACCGATGCAGAATCAGGTGGCATTGTTAGCAGATTACATCACAACTGAAGTGATTCCATTTTTGTCTATATTTCATCCAGTATACACAATTCTTTCAAACTAGGACTAAGGAGTGAGAACAATTAACCAGTGGAACGACTTGCCTCCAGAAGTTGTGGGTGCTCCATCACTGGAGGCTTTCAAGAAGAGACTGGACAGCCATTTGTCTGAAATGGTATAAGGTCTCCTGCCTGAGCAGGGGGCTGGACTAGAAGATCTCCAAGGTCCTTTCCAACTCTATTATTCTGTTAAATGCCCTTATCTGCTTTGCCACTGAGGGTAGTTGAGGTTCTGAAGGTGGTACTGAGAGCCTTCCTTGAAGAATTTACATTGTTATGATAGGACTCCTTACTATATTACAAGCCTTCCTCTTCATATTTGTGCCATAGTTTACCAAATCACACAAACTCCAAGCAAGCTAAAAGTCCCTGCAAAGAGAAGTTGTGTCTGAAGTTCACTCATATCACTTTGCTGAAATGCGGTTGAGCAGATGTGTTTTAATCACCACTCGGGACCAACACCCTCACGCTCCTAAACTCCATCTGCAGAAGTAGATAGAGCTGGGAAATGTCTCATACCACAAAATAAATTACACACTTCACATGCCATTAGAGACAACATGTTCCCCGATCATAGCTAAGTCTGTGTCATCTGTGTTTCAATCATTTCATCTTGAGTAATAAATCAAGGGGAACTAATGTCAGCCTGTCTCTCCAAGTTATTCACAGAAGTGGGACCACATGGTTAGACATTCATATCCAGAAACAATCAACATCAAAACATCTGTTATTCAAATCACATCCTCAAAGATACAAGCTGCTGATTTTGCCTTTTCCACCATATCATCTTGACGTCTGCCTTCATGGTTAAACACGGCAGGCTACAAAGCTTGCTCCAAAGAGTCCTTCCCTACTCATCACTGCCAGGATCCTTTCCCATCTCATCACTATGGACATGTGGGGCATGGTGCTCTGAGGAAGAATTAAGAGAGTCCAGGATGCTTTGCCTGGAGAAGATGATGGGGAAATTCAGCTGTTGCTTTCCATCATCACTTAGAACAGTGTTTTTCAAACCTGGCCACTTTAAGATGTGTGGACTTTGACTCCCAGAATTCCCCAACCAGGACGGGTTCTGCAATGTTTCAAAAAAGGTGATGAAACACAATTTTCCTCCAAAAGGTATGGCTTCAACTGATGGATGGAAGTTGCAAGCAACAGTCAATTCCTCCCACCTGAACTCTCAGGAGGAAATGTCTATGGAGGAAATTGCTCTCTATGGTTCTGAAATCTAGGTCCACTCCAGAGTGGAACAGCTTCATCTTTCTTCAGTTGACTGCCTGTTGCCACCTATTTTTCCTTAGCGATCATCAGGAGCAGAGTTTGATTGATTTAACGACATTGAACACAGAAGTAAATCCATCATTAAAAACATAACATCCATACGGTAAACAAAAGATTAAAAAAAAAGAAAAGAAACCCTGTAGCTGCTGCCAAACAAGTCCAAAGGCTCTCTTAAAGAGGACAGTTTCATTATCTTTTGAAAAATAATTGGGACAGAAAAACACCTAATCTTGTTGGCCATCTCCAGATGGGGAAGGCATTACTACTGAGAAAGCCAATCTCTGAGCCCAAGTGCCCTTGTTTTCTTTCAAGGTGGGTATCTGGACCATCTTCTCCCTACTGGATCATGTAAGTCAGACAGATCCTATAGAAAGGAGACAATCCTGAAGATAACAAGGACCCATCCCCTACAAAAAGCTTTCTAGGTGATCCACATTTTGGATTGGGCCTAGAAGCCTAAAGTCCCTGCAGAATAGGGGTTATTCTACTCAATTGTGTAATACTGGTCACCACATCCTGCATCAGTTGCAGCTTCCAAGTTGACTTGGAATGGCAGCCTCAGATGATGCAATTCCCTGATGGGACTACGACTAGCTCGATACAGTAGATACCTGGAGATGCTGAGAACCTTCTGCACTGACCTCTGGGTGTCAAGCTGGGTTATAAGGCAACTTTGTAATGGAGGACAATAGCCACCCACTGAGTTCAGGAG